CTTGCTTCCTTGCTTCCTTGCTTCCTTGCTTCCTTGCTTCCTTCATCCCTTCCTTTCTTCTTTAATTAATTAAATAATTCTTCCTTTATCGTCTTCTTTTATTCAGTAGTAGTACAGAAAAGACCTCCGACTAAAATGAAAAGCGAAGCACGCCTAATATTGGGCTTCCTGCGTTGTTATCGGCGCGCGCAAATATTTATATTTAAGTTGTTGCGTCGTTGATACATATGACGAAACAAACGAAACATTTCAAATCAAGAAGTAAAACGGAGATAACATAGCTTGCGGGAGATAACATACTACAGGTAGCTAAAAACATTTCCATTTCAGATTGAAACGCTGATCTTAATATTATTCCTTAACTCGAAAATATCTTAGGCAACTGGTCAAGTAAGTGTTACTTTAATTATAAATGGATTATTTTCCTATGAGCATATTTTTTTCCAATCCAAACCTATTTATAACATGATTCTTCGTTTGTAAGATTTTTGTCACATAAAAATAAGAAAAGGAAAATGACAAATAGGATTTTTTTAAGCAAAACAGGAGCAATTATACAATATTTTTGAAGGTGTAGACTGACATTTGTGATCTAAAGCAAATATTTTAATCAATCTAGGCTGACACTTTGAAATAAGAACTAGAAGTACGTGTCTAATTGATTCATACTCAATGTCATGTTGCTGTTTATATTTTATCATTTTATATGACAATGTCTTTTTGTTGTCATTGCAGTAATCCCAGATTATATTAAGGGTTGCATAAGATCTAATGGTTTCCTATTTCCAGGACACGTCATTAGGGATGAGGGCAAAACATTTGTCATCTCACGGTACCCGATTTAGGGGGAAGGGGTGGTGTTACCCGTTACCTACCACTTCTGGAAGGGAAATAAACTAAAAGTCAAATCACAGAAATGAATGTCTGTCTGTCTGCACGTATGCTAAAAATATTTTTTTGTATAGAAATTTCCACTACAGACCCCAAGTATCGAGCATTTGAACAGGTCTCTGAGGGGGGAGGGGGCATGTACCGGTACCCACCACCTTAATTCATAAAATCGGGTCCYTATTTTGGACCATTGTTTTGACCTCGTCCCTTATTCCCTAAATTTTTTTTTGTTTAAACGGTTATGCATGAGAAAATACGTGAATATAGATACATTTCCTGTTTTAGGGGAATGAAACATGGTCTGAATTTTTTAAACATCACGCCCAATGCAAAAAGGCCTAAATCAACATGGGATTCATTTGATTACAGATATATTGGAACACTGTACAGCCTTCAGACAAACGTCCAATACTAGTCATGTCTGTGAATATTGTGTACCACGCATCTAAAGGTCATCTCTTTAACGTGAGAAGATTATTAGAACATGGCATCCTTCCAGATGCAACCGCTGCCAATGGTGAGACGGCTCTGTTCCATGCAGCTCTTGGAGGACACTTAGATGTTGTTACAACCCTTCTTAAATATGGGGCAGATCCAAATAGGTAAAAATTAAGTCTGGACTGATCATCATCATCGTCATCACCACCAACACCATCATACTCATATCACTATCATCATCACCGTCATCATCATCATCACCAAATCAACATAATTATAATCATTATCATCACCAGCATCGATCATCATCATCATCATTATCATCACCATTGTCATCATCATCATCATCGTCATCATCTTCATTGTCATCATCATCATCATAACAATCATCGTCATAATCACCATCATATTATCATCATCACCATTATCGTTATCATTATCGACATCTACATATACATGTAAATTTCATCTAGTTTGTAAGATCGTTAGATATCACATCGTCATCATTAACAACAAGATCAACCCCCCTTCCCAAGAGCCGCTACGCAGGCTAACAGGATTCTTTTTGGCGCCTCTTTAGATGCTCTGTCAACGGACTTTCTCCAGTTAACGCGGCTYGTATCAAAGACAACATTCATTCACTAGGTGCACTGCTTTTTCATGGAGGCCGTCTCGAGCATCCGTCATTCAGCGAATCAGCCGTGGTAACTGCGCACAGATATCGTAGCAGACGAGTAAAGCTTTACATCAGGAAGATAAAGGAACATGCGCTGCTCAATTTTACTGGTGATGCCATGGACGTTGTTGACGAGATCAAGAATCTTCACACTTTGAAAAAAGTATGTGAACAACACTTGAGATTTTTCGATCACTATCTTAGTCTATCTCTATTATATCTATCTCCCATACTGGGTCTGTGAGTCAACGTATTCCCAGATCATGAAGAAGCCCATTGCTAGGAACTTCCATCTCCCATACTGGGTCTGTGAGTCANCTAGGAACTTCCATCTCCCATACTGGGTCTGTGAGTCGATATATTCCCAGATCAGGAGCCCATTACTAGGAGCATCCATCTCCCATACTGGGTCTGCGAGCCAGCATATTCCCAGATCAGGAGCCCCATTTACTAGGAGCATCAGCATCTCCCATACTGGGTCTGTGAGTCAACATATTCCCAGATCAGGAGCCCATTACTAGGAGCATCCAT